AGGAGGAAAAAACTCAGGATACGGCTGGGGAAAAAAAGTGAAAAGGCATTGCCTTGCAAAATGATGAGTCTCCTCAAATGATGACCATTTAAGTGTGGAGGGGTCTTTTAATCACTTGGTGGTTTCTAATGTGTCTCTTTCTACAGGACCACTGTAAGGTAACTTGTCTCTCTCAGAAATTGGGATAGGTGTAACTGCTAAACCCTTGCTCCACTCATAGCAAATAAAATACCCATCCTGCTTTCACCACTTCCTTTTCAAATGCAATTAGTGCAAGAGAGCCTTTCATCTCTTTTTTGGTTGGGTTTTTCTTTTTTTTTTTTTGGAAGTGCTGACTTTATTTATAGTTGGCACTTGTAACACCAAAGTACCACACTGTAACCAATTTTTGATGTATTTTTTAGTAGCTCCTTCCTGGGAAATAGTTCTCTTTAGGGGCTCTAGTGAGATAAGCAAGATGGGTGACCTGTGTTAGGATTTCATAGCGTCCGCAGGAAAAATCCCTGCTAACGAAGGCAGGGAGCTAATTCAGCTTTCCTATGTGCTGCCCTGTGCATGAATCATTACTGTGGTTTCGAGACAAATAGTTACATCTTCAGTCAAATCTGATATTCCAAAGAGTGTGGCTTTCAAGTTTCTGTGCTATGCTGCAAGCAGGAAGTATAGTTACACTAGCATCTCCAACACTTTCTCCCCTAGCTCTCCAGCTGTCTAAGGTATTTATAGTGTGCCCGTCATCATAGTATCTAGGCACTAGGATTCCTCTCCTACCAGATGGTGGGCAGAGCAGTCGTATCCAAAGGCCAGATTTATAAAAAAGGAGGAAAATTATTTTTCAATGTTATTTACTCCTTGCTAAAACTCGCCAGTTAAAATGCCTTTCCCCCTCGTTCCTCTGGGTATGGTACCGCTCGTTACCGGAATGATATTGTAACCAATATGTAACGCTGTAATTAGAAAGCAATAATAGCAGGCTCCTTATATATATAAATATATATATAAAACATTTCCCCCTTATTGATGTGTGTGTATTTATACACGTTTTTTTGCCATTCTGTTGGAAAACAGAATTATACATGGTCACAGTGATAATACAGGATGTGTATCTATAAAATGTATATACACAGACTAATGCTGGATATCGATATGGGACAGAAAATATTAAACGCCCCCATATCTGTGGTGCTGAAAAATTCATTCACTCCAATCTTACAATGGGGAAAGCAAGGAAAAAATCTAAACAGCAGGATACGACAATAAATGGGAAAACAGCAATAGAAAAAGCACACTAGGTTAATATAGGAAAACTAGTTTCTTTATTGAGAGTCGTATATTAGTATTAGTGGAATTGTGTGTAACAATGTCATCATGCACACAATACAAAAAGGCAAGGCCCACCATGCCATGGAGGGGCAAACAGAACAAAAGCAGCGTACAATGAGCAGATGTATAGGCTACAGCACATTACATTTCAGCAGGGTATGTCTCTACAGAGAGATTTACATCAGAAACTAGGTAATGTAAAAAAATACAGACCATGCTTTAGTTTTAGTACAAGAAAAAGGTGAAGATACACAACCAAAGGATATTTGATACAGAAAATTACCCACAAAATAAGAACAGGAAGTAATTTAGCACAGCAGAAAATGTTATCCCTGTTTAATGGAAAACCATTTTGCCAGTAGTCTTTCTCTCTCTCTCTCTCTCTCTCTTTTAAAAAAATACTTTAATTAAAATTGGCATTTGATTCACTTCCTTGGAGGTGTGTTAATTGATCAAATGTTTGCGCCCAATTGACACACACTAAATAAAGTGTTTAGATAGTCTGTGTAGCAGGCAACTCTACATACTGGACGTTTCAGCTTTCAAAGAAACAGATGGAGACCAGCTGTTGAAAGTGGTGTAATTTTGGCCAGGAGTGCGTGTGACACATAATGTACAAAGATGCAGTACCCCTTTTGTATTACAAAGCCTTTGAGTAACCCTTGTTAACAATCAGGGTAGAGGAATAGGCAGACATTCATTTTCCTTCCTGCTTCCATTTGACCACGGATCTGATCCTCCAACTATTTTAAAGCCTTCCCCCCCGACCCAGAATGAAGACAAATTGCATTGAATTTAATTGGGGGGGGGGGGTTGTTTTGTTTCGCCTAGGATCGACTGCAATTTGTTTAGTCATGACTGCTTGCTACATGGCAAAAACCATGTTTGCCTAAATAACTGGAGAAAAACCACAAGATACTGCATCCACCAACTAAAGCAAAATGAATCCACTTAACAGGAATTTACAGTGCAATGTACTTAGCTAAACAAGATGAAGATACAAAAATGGCTGTTATTATCTACAGCTATTCTGAAATGGCCTGTTGTCTATACTACTACAGTGAAACTAAAAAGAACAGATTTAAGCTTACAGTCTGCCTAATAGTTTTACAAGAAGATTGTGGTTTAGACTTCAGGTTTAAGCATTAGTATCCTCTGTCATAAGGACTCACACTTCAATGATTCGCTTTAATGGGTCAGACACCCCCAGCCCCTATACCGGTTCTCGGGAGGGGGGTGTTCACCAGCAAGGAAAATGAAAGGGGCAGTCAAAAACAGCACGCCAATTTTTCAAGGGGCAGGAGCAAGGAAAAAAAAATACTAACCCGCTAGAACTCATTTTAAGGTATCCGAATTTGAAAACATTAAATTGCATCCTGTAATGGTATTTAAAGATCAGGGGTATTAATGATCATAATGATTTAATCAGGATAATTATACTTCCAGGCTTCCCATCATTCTTAATGATTTTTAATGTATGCCTAGCATATAATAAAAAAATCCTAGACATTCTCAAGTAATAAAGGATAATTACAGAGCAGGAGGGGAAAAATTAGCGTGACAGCAAAATCTCATCAATCTAAGCCCTTCTTTCTTTCTTTCTTTTTTTTTTTTAATTGACAGGCAGCCCATAGAGAGGGGATACTGCAGCTTAAATATCAATGCCTTCCTCAGATGGATGCAGGAAATGGTTAAGAGAGGGGTGTCACAATACAGCTAAATGCAGAGGCAGAGGGCTACAGCACACAGCAGCAAGTTGACCATTCACTGTGCTACACAATGAAGAAAAAAAAAAAAGATTTGATAAATGCAAAATGTCATCATCTCAACATCACAATAGAGACTGCACTCAGAAATGCCACATGTTCCACCTATGTTGCATGGACACAGACGGGAAAGGGCAATCTATTTTCACTTGGCGGGGCAAGCGCAGGGCAGAAGGGCCAGATTCTGATCTGAGTTACCCTGGGTGTCAATCAGCGCATCCCAAACCATCCGAGCCTTTTCAGTCCCTGGGACTACTCCGCATTGGCAGCCCTGTAATTCAGAGCGGAATCTGGATTCGAACTGTTTTAGATTTTAATTCAGATTTACTGGGTCCCCGGGGGGCAAGATCTGAATGGTAATTATAGCAGTCTATCATCTGTTAAGAGGGAATTATATATATATATGCATATATATATATATATATATAT